GTTTGCTCTACACGATCAACTTATTTGCAAAGAATTCTAGACTGAACTCCGGGACTTAGTTTTTTGAGATTTGGGTTTTCTGCAGACCCTGATTTCAGGAGTTTTGATGGAACTTTTGTATACATATCCTGAGATCGGAAATTCTTTCATCTGTTCAAATCTTTTTTCAAATTTATTCTAGCTATTATGGTCATGTAATAATTGCAACTAGATGTATTTATACGTCACCGGTAGTCAATGGGTTAATGAAATATTAAAACTATATGATGACTTGCTTCTGGTCACTTTTAGTGTTAATTATAATTTGTCGAATAAAACTTACCTTCATCGAAGAAAAAATTAACAGTATTTTATGTTTGAACAAACGAAATTATATTAATAATTAAAATGAAGGGTTAAAATGCGAGAGGTAGTGTACAAATGTGCATAAAGAGATAGGTTAGGACAAGAATCTGTTCAATAACTTTGAAAATAGTGTGTGATTGTATCAGATTCTGTACAGGACAAAGTTGGCTTGAAACAAGCTAAAGAGTCATTGTGAATTAGAACATCAATATACATGAACGAAGTATTAATACATTGAATAAAAAATATCTTACAATATTCCAGAAATCTTTCGTTTTATACAAGATAAACGCAAAACATGAAAATGGGCTTTGCGAAACCTAGTATGTAATCTCAATGAGAAAAATATTTCGGATCTTTTAAATACGCTGTCGTGGACAACTCTGGTAAATGCAGCACATTAGAGGAGCTATACAGCTCGTTCTAGCGCAATTCGACGCAGCTCACCAAACTCTACTTATGATATAAAAATAAAGATTTTCGGTACCGTGACAGAAAAGGTCTCTATGTTTTGAGGACTTCTAATACAGCTCTGATTTCCTGCGAATGTGGCTGTGCATCTGAAAAGTTTCTAGAAGCAAGTCTGTAGAGGAGTGGTTAGAGCATTTAAAAAACAGTAAACTTAAGTAATACCATATCTGGCAAGAAATTTAACTCCAGAACTAAGCAATTTAACGTCAGCTTGTTGATAATGTCCTTGTAGATTAACACGTGTAACGAATGAAAGTGTTACTAAAAGATACATTTCGTATACCACATTATTTATTTACATGTAGAACATTCAAATCATCTGATTCATCGATATATATTTAAAAGAATGAATAATATTTAAAAACTAATAATAAATAAACTTCCGATTATACCTGCCTTATCTGTCTTATTAAAACGATTTCTGATACTAGTTCGTATGATTCGGAAGCTCTATATTTAAATACAGAAAGTGGTATGCAAAATGAATCTACCATAATCGAATATTTCTGCCCACTATTCATTCATCTTACTTTTATAACTGACGGAAAAATCGATCAACTCGTTTGTTTCCGTTAATTACTGATATTTATACAGCAATGATTTGTTCACGAAATCAAAATAAGGCAGAAGTAGCTCATGCTAAAATACGATGGATTGTTGATCCGTTTGAAATTAACACCATAAGATGATATGAGACATCCGCTCATCCGTCGTGATATAAGACAAATAAGCATAAAACAGATCGAAAAGTCCGGTATTACGACGGATCAATCTGACTATGTCTCAGATCAATATTCTTATGTCGTCTTACTACCAGATGAAGTTTTTTATTGTTTTATCGTTTCTTCTATTTTAATTATTAATATAATTTCGTTCGTTCAAACATAAAATACTGTTAATTTTTTCTTCGATGAAGGTAAGTTTTATTCGACAAATTATAATTAACACTAAAAATGACCAGAAGTAAGTCATCATATAGTTTTAATCTTTCATTAACCGAGCACTTTCTAATTCATTCAGTTTTCTAAAATTTCCTTTTATTTGTAAAAAAATTTAAATGTACAACAAACGAGTTAGCCTTTCAGTTACCAGTTGATGGATGTTTCGCTATCTGCTTCATGTGTATCTGTTTTAGTGGATAAATTTTCCTTTATCGAGTACACTAATACCTTATAGTCTTTTTGTTCAACAACAGCCATGTATTGCGCATAATCAATCTGAAAATCGAACGAATTTCGACCGATAACGACGATAAATTGTTCATTTGAATAATGTTGAGCCAGTTCTTTTTTTATATAACTAACGACTTCTAAATATGTTTTCATCATTGTTGGAAAGGTCTGACCAGTTGAAAACGCAATGTTAACAAGTCTTTCAACTTCTTTTCCAAATATTTGGTCACTGGTTGTGGTCAATGTAGCTCGATGATAACGTGTTGAGCTAATTGTACTATCAGTTGTTGAATTTCGTTTGCTTACATCTATTACTTCTGCCACAAGCAGACCGCACTGACATAAAGCACCTACTACGTGGATAATTGCGTCTACCATACTAATTTTCTGTTCATAGAAGAAAAGTGTTTATATTACTTCTGTATTTGAAAAAACCTGCTTGCATTTATATATTTTATAGATGAGATTAGTTTTATTTACATTATGCGTAATGTTATATGGCTCACAGTATGACTCAAATTTATGACAACACAAGTGGTTACGTTAGCTGATATTCTTAACGTCACACAGGTGTAAAGTTCTGTGAGAAGTGTCATTATGTTACAACGCTGAGAAATCGGGACTCAGACTAACAATATATATATAATTCTTTTCCTTTTTTTCTTCGTTTAATATACTGTGTTTCCTTCGTTCGTTTTCCTTCATATCAGTCTGAAAATATACGTCACCGCATACAACAGGCAGATATGAAAAAGATGTATATATATCTTCTTGTATGATATACATATCTTACCAAGTCTATATTCGAGTATATTAGTAATATATCCTTTTGATAAGACTAGTACACTCAACAAACGTAGTTATTTTAATCTCCTGATCTTATTGTTGAACTTTTCTAAAAATGTTTTCACCATTATGTAGCTGAGAATCTCGAGATCATTAAAAATTCGCATTCGCGGCGAAGTCAGTTTTTCTTTTCTTTACTATGCGTTATGCAACACGCCTTCATGCTGGCTATAGACGTACAATCTTTATTCCTTTCTCGCACTACTTCAAGTGAAAATTGGTTGCGAATTGTCTATTATATTCTGACTACTAAATGGTCAGACCGCTGGTTGCTTTTTGAATAACTTTTGATAGGAATGAGATAGAGACCTGCGATTTTCTCTGTTCAATAGCCAAGACTTGAGCAGAACTTTTCACAAGCGGAAGCAACTTTTGAAAAAATTTCAGAGATCGGGTTTTCAGAGGATCTTTGG